CCCACAAATGGACCCAAAAAAAAAACAAAACAAAAAACAAAAGATCCATCTAAAAAGCCCAGAAAGACCACAATGTAAGATCCACCTGGGAAGACTCCTGTGTGAATCTGTACAGAGACATTCCTCTCCTCTCCTGTTTAAGTCTCCACCCAGTACCTGTTTTACCTAGGTAACTTGCATACCTGGAAGCAGTTACCTTCCCCTTCTCTGAGGTGACATCCTGGACAGTCCCATCACCCCTCCTTCAGACTATGGGAAGTTCCCAGGCTCTGAGGTCAGGTCCCCATCTGGCATGCCACATCTTCCACCCACCTGGCCACATCTTCTCCTGCCCTTTCTTTACTTGAACTCCAGCAGGGCAGCTGCTCATCCCTTTTGCCATACCTGTCTCCAACCTGCTCTGGGGGCAGTGGTTCTGGATGAACTTCTCTTTCCTGCCTGAAGACCACATAGTAGTCTCTTTTCTATAGCCTAATTAAAATCTAACAGCATCTACACTGAGAAGAAGGAGTTCTCATGCTTCTGGAGGGTTCCAACATTCCCCAGAAGCCATTTGGCAACACAGACATAGGATTTTTTTGGTGAGCCCCCTGGAGATGCCAAAGGGACTCACTAGAGTGGAGTCTGTGGCTTCTGGCAGATGGTACCTCCTCTTATTGGCCCTGTGGAGACCAGCTGAAGATAGCATCTGCTCAAGATCCAAGTTGGCCATCCTATAACCTTGTAAGCCCAGGTCCTGTGCTGTTAAGGCTCCTAAGTAAGATTTGGCAGTAAGATCCACAAATATATTTACTGAGAATGTTTCTCAAAACAGGGAATTGGGTGTGAACGATCAGCAAAATAGAAGTGGCCACAGGTATTCCTGTTTCCTTCTCTGTGGTAGCTGAAAATACAGTGCCCAGCTTGGCCCTCTGTAATGTCAACTGGCATGTGTGCATATGAGATGTGCATATGAGCTGCCGGTATGAGGCAGGTTCAAATCAACACAAAAAACCTTTCAAGGACCCACAAGCCCATGTGATTTTTAGCCCCTGGGGTTTTACCCACTGTCTCTTGCTAGCACCACTATCTGGACTTGTGTTTAGCTAATATTTATACTTTTCCAGCAGTACAGGATGGCCTTGAACTAGGAATACCTTCTTCAAGGATGCATTGATGGTACCTGCTTCTCTGTGCTTTCTAGTTGTGAGCAGAGGGCCAGTGACATAAGCTAACTACTTGCCATTATCACCAACATCTTTTCCTACCTGGAAGGTTCTGTTCACTTCCTTTTACACATTTGGTAAAGGAACAGTTAAGCCCCACATGCTACTTTTGGTTGCACAGGGCCAGGCTCTGGACTGTGTAATGGCTGGGCCATTAGACAATGGCCAATAAAATTAATGCCATGCATTACAAATTATGACCAGAAGAGGAAGACACATTAAGCAATTAGTGACTGATATAAGTGAAGATGCTCAAACTGAAGTTCAGCTCATTCAATTGTTACTCATTGAGAAGTGCTCCTTTGTCAGGTCCTAGCTATAGAAATGGCTCCCACAAGGTTCCTGCTCTCAGTAATGTTGCATCTAAACAAGGATCTCAAAATCTGCAGGGTTCTGTAAAGGAATTACAAACTATCAGTTTAATGGTATAGTATAGGTGTAGAGTACAGAAATTGCTTATCTGTATAAGACAAGCATGACAGCTATGAAAGTGGACTTTATACTTAGTTACATGGTAAGCTACAAAAGAACTTTAAATCAGGAAAGAAAGGGAGTAAAACTTTCCATTCTAAAAGGCTTCAATTAGACGAGGGAAGAATTTTAAAATGCCTAAGTTAAATATTTAAATATCTCCAGCAGAAAAAATTTTATATCTTAACTAAATCTAAATCCAATTTTATTATATGGGAGGGCAGAGTAGAAAGGACCATCTAAATACCACAATACGAAAACAAAATTTTCATTGTATCAACTTCAGGCAGCAATTTTAATTATTACTAATTTCCTCATCAATAAAGCCATGGTAGTACCTTCTATGTCTGAGAATAGTGAAAACATTTTTTTAAAAAACAAACTTATGGAAAGAAATTATAGAGCAGGGATGATTTTGAACATCTTGTTTTTATAAATTAGGTTACTAAATATTTTATACATGAAGATATAGAGCTTTGAGAAACATTGTATAGAAAAGTAAAGATACATTAAATAATTGTTTGGCAATTATAAAAGCTCTAAATAAGAAGAGGCATATACAATCAAACCTAAATAACTTACCAAATGATACTCTCAAAAGAGACCCAATAGAGGAAAATGTACTTTTATCATAAACAACAATCTAATCTCTTATAGACTTGCAGAAACATCTAGGTGTTTCAGTAATATTACTTAATAGGTTACATTTCCCTGGATCTTAATATAGTTGTTTTCAGTTAAAAATAAAATAACCATCTTTTATCAAATTGACGAATAAAAGTTACAGATTAAGAATAGTCATGAAATCTAAAAGAATTCTTTTTTGTTTTACCTCATCATCAAAAGCCTTGGAATTTAAGAAATTAATTTATGCGTACTACCAAACTTAGAGGGCACAGAGAAAATACTGTACTTTATATGTTGTTCTCTACTTAAAGAACTTCAAGAGGTTAAAAGTCAAGTTGAAATGGAAAATATCCCTTTAGGTTTTGCTATGTAGTAATAGTTGTTTTTTCTTTCTCTCTTCAACTACTCAATATTAAATATAATAAACATTTTTGCCTTTGTATTCTTATTTTGTGGTTATAATACTAATTCAGGAATTCTCAGAATCACTAAACAGTTCTGATTCTTTAGAATGCTAAATTCGATTGAGAAATTAAAACTTTTTTTTACTAATTGCATCTATAACAGGATTTTAAAAAATTATACAAGGTTTCTATGTAGACAAATTATAGCTCTAAGCTCAATGTTTATTCAGAAATAAATAAATAGCCCCAAATTTGCTCAGCTATGGAAGAAATGTTTAAAGGACTCAAAATACAAGAAGAAATACCATGGAAGACATACATTAAAATAAAGAAATACACTAAATATGATTAAATGCAATATACATTTTTTAGCAAGAAGAAAAATAAGATGAAGTAGATGCTTTATATAAAGCATACATATACAATGCACAAAACCCAGTATGGTTGGTAACCTCTACAGCTATGAAGAACAAGATATTTACATATCTTTCTTTCTCATGTGCGCGTGCATATCTGTGTTTTGTATATATTTTTAACAGTTGACAGCTGTTTTAGAGCATACAGAGATGCCAAGCTGAATGAAGGTCTTGATTACTTCAAGATTAGCTATCTAAAGTTTCTATTCATTTTAAGTGTTGTTAGTTGGAAGAGTCATTAGTCACTTCCTTGTCTCATAGAGCATCAGCATACATTTACATTGTTAATGAACATTTGGGGTAAATGAATTAATGGCACTTTTAAACATCAATTCAATCCTAATAACTTAGTATGTCACAGAAATGTTAAGACTAGGATATAAATGAAAATCCTTTTTAGAAAAGGTAACTATTGATCCCTTCAAACAATAAAAGAATATTAATTTAAACTGGTTTTGAACAAGGTTAAAATAAATTAAATAGATAAAAGACAAATAGACAAAAGAAAAATATACAGTTAAAACATAAAAGAAAACTATGTTCTCAAATAAACATAGAAATCAGAAATAATATGAAAAAGGTTGTTCAAATCATTTATATACTTGTAATGAATATATGTTCATTTTTAAAACTTATTATAGAAGTGTTTACTATGTGATATGACTTAATTGTAAGTACTTCTTATAGATATTACATTTAAAAGAAAGCTTTCAGGATTTCTACTGAAATACTAAAATACTGGAATAAAAATTATCATAATTTTCATATTATCAAAGAGAAGTCTGCTTTTAGAGGAAAAAATAAAACAATAAACTCACAAAACAACTTTATGTGCCAAATTCTACTTTCATTACAACACCAATACCATTTGTATGGTGTAGAAGGTAATAAAGATGTACACACACACACACACACACACACACACACCACATGCACATGCACACAGGTGCATACACACAATCTATAAAAAGTTTATTTTAAATAAATATCATTTTAGGAGTAAATTTTGTTTTAATTCTCAAAATACGAGTTAATGGCAAACCCTGACCTCAATATAAAAACCAAAATAATTTGAGGCACAAAAAACACGTTATTGGTTTAAAAAAATCTTACAATATAGACATACACATTTCAGAATGAAAAAGTACAAGTTCAGTGAGTCAATGAACTTTATATAATTATTCAATAATAAAAATAAGGCCCCAAAATTTCTATAGCATGGCTTCCTTCTAAGAAAGTATATTATAAATATCACTAAGTACTGAGAAAATAATGCAGAATTCTGATACATGCACATTTGTTAAATTTTAATAGAACAGAAGTTGAATATACTCTATTTTCCAGCCTACAACTTAATTTCAACATAGATTTTTTAAGTAAACACTAGCTTCAATTACTTACAAAGGAAAATGAAGAAAGAAGAAAAAAAAGAAAGGAAAGGACAGAGAAAAATGAAGAGAAGAAGGTAGGGTGGGAAGAAAGAGATACTCAGGAAATTTTTGTCATAGAAGGAATCTGAATTTGTTACAGAAATAACAAAAGTATCCTTCAGAAATCAATACCCAATGCTTAAAATTTCTTGAAATGTATGTGATACAGTGCCCTTTGCATTTCAACATTCTTAGGCATAAGTCTAGTTTGACTTTTTAAAAGATAACTGTCTATTAAACATTTGGCTAATGCTTCTGTCTGAAACTCAGAGTTGCATTTCTGTGATATTGATTAGTGTCAAGAGTGCACTATACACATCCAGGTTCATGTTCTTAAAGTTGCTCTGCTACGTCAGAAAGAATTACACCCACAATGTTGGCAGAGATAAATAAAGGGAGTCCATCTATTAGGTTTCTTAGCACATGCAAAATACAAACAATACTCACCATTAGACTTATTCAAATAACTGGATAAAGGATCAATGCCTACTTCTTGTTCTTCTGACTGAAGAGGATGTCTAGTTTCAGATAAGGAATGGTACATTGTAGAAACTGGTCAGTGTCACCAAAATTAACTGCCTGGTAGATGAAAAGATACAGGAAAAAATGATAAATAAATTTTCCTTCTTTTACTGTGAATCCAAAAGATAAAATGATTAAGTGAGCATTATAGACATTAACACATTTTCCACAGCTCCAGGGGCTGTTACTGCACCTTGGTGAGCATATGCAAAAGAGCAAAAAGGTGGCAATAAATTTCCATTTAAAGGATTTCTTTCAAAATCTGAACTTCATTTATAACCTTTATTTTTACATTAAATCACATTTATTATCAGTAAAATTTGCACAAGAGTGAACTGCAAGTTAAAAAGATTTATTGTACTTTTGTTTTACTCCCATGTAACCAACATTCACAATAGCAACTTGCAAAAGAGAAATGATGTAGCAAATTAAAATTAGTCATAATTGTATTGCGTAGAAATACTACTGTTAACATTTCACTATATTATTCATACCTTTCTAGTCTTGTGGACATTTGAAGTACATGTTTTCAATATGCTAAAGCTTCATGCTAAACATACTGATCTACATTAAACTATCAAGAGTATTTTCCTTCTCACTACAAGAAAATTTTGTGTTATAAAATCTCTAGTACTGAATTACATAATTATTACAATTTACATAACCAATTTCTTATTAGTAAAAAATTATTATGTTCTCAGTTGTTTAACACCACAGCCTTGTTCAAAACTACAGAATTACAGTAAGTGTCTCTAATTGTCTTCTATGAGTGGAATTTATTGTTTTGATTTTAAGCATGGTTTAAATATTAAGAATCTTAAGACTGAGCATTATATGCATACATTTTGTGTCAGTCATTTTTGTATGATATTTTTCTGATAAGTTTTTCATTTTCTGTAAATCAGAAGCTATAGCTACTTATATTTTAACAGACTAATTTTTTATCCTTTAATTCTTATTCTAAATATTCTGGTATTCAGTTATTACAAATTACATTTTTAAAAAAATTATCTTGCACGCCGGGCACTGGTGGCTCACGCCTGTAATCCTAGCTACTCAGGAGGCTGAGATCTGAGGATCGAGGTTCAAAGCCAGCCCGGGCAGGAGAGACCGTGAGACTCCTATCTCCAATAAATCACCAGAAAACCGGAAGTGGTGCTGTAGCTCAAGTGGTAGAGCACTCGCCTTGAGCTGAAGAGTTGAGGGACAGCGCCCAGGCCCAGAGTTCAAGCCCCACGACCGACCAAAAAATAAAAAAACAAAAAATTATCTTGCACTTCTTCTAAGGTAAGGCAACTGTAACAGTTTACTAAATGTTCCAAAAAGCTCATGTGTTGAAGGTTTGGTTCCTGGCTAATGGTAGTGGATGGAAACATTGTTTTTGTTGAAGAGTATATTGGGATTCAACACCTCCTCTCTCACTGCATCCTGGCCACCTTTATGCAAGCAGCTTTGCACCACACATATCCTGCCTCATAATAGGGTCAAAAGCAATGGAGCCAACCAATTATGGACTAAAACCTCTGAAATCTGTGAGCCAAACTAAACTTTTCTTCTACCACATTCATTTTAGTAGCATTTTGTCATAGCAATGAAAATAACATCCACCTACTTAGGAACTTTCTGTTAATATGTATGAATTACATTCTTAATAAAAACCATAACAAAAAATAAACTAGGTTCATCACTTTCCATCCAATATATGTAAATAACAAAATCAATTAAATTTCAAGCACAGAGAAGGCATAGGAGGAATGAATAATAAGAAAGACTAAGCGAGAACAGCAAACTCAAAGAAAATAAATACTTATTTTTTAGTTATTTTTGGGGGAGAGGTAGGAACGGGTAATACTGGAATTCAATTCAGGACCATACAGTGACTGGACAAATGCTCTACAATACCATTCACAGTTCTTGTATGAATAATTTTTTATAAGACATAGTCTTCATTTATGGAAGAAAAGTTTTCAGCTATATCCAAGAGTACAAAAATTCTTGATTATTTTTCCCCAATCCAAAGAGCTCATTTATCTCATTTGTTTTCTCTCTAAAGTCCTCATTCATGTATATTTTGTTTTTTATCAAAACCATATGATCTCCTTGCTTACACACAACCGAGTAGTTATCAGTCATAAATACTATGAAAATTGTAGCTAACACAACAAAAACAGATGATTAAGGTAAACAGAAAATGTCTATTGTGAACACAAAAAAGAAAAAAACTGAATTTCTAAATGCAGAAAATCTTAAATCTAAGAAATCTGTCAGAAAGTCATTTTTTATGCATCTACAGTCTCTAAGAAGAGACTCTAATTTAGGAAAGGATAGCAAAACATAGATGATCAGTTATAGTTAGAAACATAATCCTATAAATTATGTCTTTTACAGACCAGTAAGGATCATCAAACTTGAATATCCAATGAAATCAGAGAAAAAGCCTCATTAATTACAGTTAACATTTAAGTACAATAAACATATGATAAAAGCCATTTTCATGTACACTCATCATTTTATCCTGCATAACTTAATACTTCCCCTTCATCATTTTCATTTCTCTAATTTATCACTTATATGATTAATAAGTATTAAAGTTGGAATTTGAAAACACTGCCCACATCCAAACCTTATATACTATACACTAAATAGAGCTCTCACTAAGTCAAAGAGGAAAAAAGACCAAGTATAAAACAAGTAGTAGGACTGGGAATGTGACTTAGTGGTAGAGTGCTTGGTTAGCATGCATGAAGCCCTGGGTTTGACTCCTCCTTACCACATAAACAAAAAAAGCCAGAAGTGGTGCTGTGGCTCTATTGGTAGAGTGCTAGCTTTAAGCAAAAGAAGCTCAGGGACAGTGCCCATGCCCTGAGTTCAAGCCCCAGGACTGGCAAAAAAAAAAAAGTAAAAGAAGATACTGAAACATCCTTTATTCTAATTCAGTTTTGGAAGACAAATTAATAATTCAAGTTTGGTGTAACATCTCCTTACTTATAAGTATTGGCAAATAATCCAAAATTCTTAAAACTGCAAAGAATATATTAACTGATTTTGAAGTCAGAGTTGATCCATAATAAATGATTTTAATATGATTCCTATCTTCTACATATTTTTTACGTTTCTAAAATTATGAAAGAAAAAAACAAGTTAAATGCTAGATTATGACATTTCTTTAATAATGTAAACCATATTTTCACTGTCTAATTATGTTATTTATTTATTTTTGGGGGGTTGTGAGGCTTGAACTCAGCCTGGGCACTGTCCCTCAGCTCTTCAGCTCACTTTTCTGGTGGTTAATTGGAAATAAGAGTACCAAGGATTTCCTGCCTGGGGCTGGCTTTGTATCATGAACCTCAGATCTCAGCCTCTTGAGTAGCTAGGATTACAGGTGTGAGCCATTAGCACCTGGCTACCTTAATTGGTATTGAAAAAAGAAAAAAGTGATCTGTGACAAAGAAAGTCAAGTTTGAACACTTAGAAAAAAATTCAGAAGACACATTTCAAATCTATTTAACACATTTCAAAACTATTTTTCATATAGACAAGAAGTCTATGACTCAAAATTTCAAACTATCAGTACTATACAGATAAAATAATGGATAAGTAATACCCCTAGTAAAGCAATTTATTCACTCTGAACCTGAAGTTGTGTTTGTCTCTGTTTCTATTCATTATTTCATTGCTTCAAACAGCATTCTCAATAGGGTCATTCTAAAGACACATTCAAGAAAGCTCACATAGTAAGTAAAGCTATGGCCCAAAGTGGTAGTCTTGAGCAAAAGAACTAAGGGACTATGCTTGAGCCCTGAATTCAAGCCCCACCACACACACACACACACACACACACACACACACACACACACACACACACACACACACACACACACACACACACACACACACACACACACACACACACACACACAGTCTTGAGCAAAAGAACTAAGGGACTATGCTTGAGCCCTGAATTCAAGCCCCACCACACACACACACACACACACACACACACACACACACACACACACACACACACACACACACACCTACCTTTATAGCTAGGCTTCTGTGGCTCATGGCTATAATCCTAGCTACTCAGGAGGCTGAGATCTGAGGACTGTGATTCAAAGGCAGCCTGAGAGGAAAAGTCTCTGAGACTCTTATTTCCAATAAACTACCAGCAAAAGGCAGAAGTAGTGCTGTGGCTCAAATGGTAGAGCACTAATCTTCAGTAAAGAAACTCAGGATCATAAAAACCCCAGGACCAGCAAAAAAGAAAAAGAAAAAAGAAAAGAAAAAAAAAGTTCATATAAACATACTTTATTCACTTAAATTCTTGAGTAATTATAAATGACATAGTATTACTTCACACAAAGATTTCTCTTGTAATAAAAAACAAAGAATATAAATATTTATATAAATATAGCATATTTATGTAAATATAAATCTTTATATAAATATAAAGAATATAAATCAACTGCTAGGGTTTGATTGTAAGTGTGAGGGTTACATATATACACGTTTCATACATACTATTGATGGTATTTAACCATAAATACTGCATGCAGGATATAAAAGTGAACTTCTTGATAGAAGCTCTATTTTCATATTTAAAAGGGAAAGTATTTGAACAACACTATATAAAATATTTTCTATTCAAAAGTGTTAGCAGCAAAAAGAAAATTTGCTGGCTGTAAATAATAATGCTCTCTGAAGTCTTAATTTAAAAAAAGGAAAGAGAATAAAAGAAAAAGAAAGATTTCAGTTCTATTTTTGAATTTGGCCAATATTTAATGCACAAGGGTTATATTGGACTTCAAATAGATTAATTTAGAGTTAAAAATCAATCATTTGAAAGAATTAATATTTAATATTGTTAGATAGCATATCGAAGTAGTTTTATTATTTATTTACTGCAAACCTTTCCAGAATGCTTCATTTGACAACAGGGGGCCTGATTCTCACAAGATAAGTGCATTTACAATGTCAAATAAATTATATATAAAAGCATTTGTCTTAATACATGTCATTCAATATTAAGTATAATCCTTTGGTAAAATTCTGAA